TGAATATAATTTAGTCTGATTGTGAAAAGATTGTACTTGTAGATACTGTACAGTATTAATGTGTATGGAATTATTGGGTCAAATAAAATAATTTAATATAGTGTGCGTTTTCTTTTGTAAGATTAGTTAGAGTTGGTGTCAGTTTTGAATTTGTTAAACGTTAAAATCGCCAGCCAGATTGTATTGTCATTGCATATGTTGAAAGAAGATGTATATTTATTGCAATGCTTCATGGATTAAATTTCCGCTGAGACTGGAAGTTTTGATACTAGGGAACACAGTTTGGTAATGCGTGACCTCATTTATATGCATGAACATGATATGCTAACACTTAGATATGCATGACATGAGTTGATAGAGTGAGGCAGGTTTCCTTGGCAACACAATTTTATGCGATTTTGACTCCTGAATGGTAAAAATAGGCAGCGGGACCTACTGCAACCTCTAACATTTAGCTGGGTGTATTTGAAACACAAAATGGTTGTGAGCATGGCAATGAATTCCAAAATCCAGCTCACTGAAACTTGTATATGTAGTAGGAAGGAAAACTTTTGTTTGATACTCCATATTTTAAAGCAAGTTGATTACGAGTTATCATGAACAGTGGCAGCGGCACATAGGGGGTTACTCCCCCCCATTCAAAAAATGCGTGGCTGCTCATACCTTTGGCATGAGGGATGGTGAGCCGAAACCCCCCTGCAAAATTTCGATAATAAACCCTCTGATAAACTAAAAATGTTGCTTTTGCAGGGTAAACAGTATTTATTAAAGGGGCACCTTCCAGTTAAGCCTAATCTCACAACAAATTTACTTTTTGGATTAAAATAACAATGGATAACATAAGATAGATTAACATTGTAAACAACATAAACAATAGTGTCCCATGATTCTTTGGTGCAATCCAAAAGCACGAACACACATGCATTGTTTGTTATTCTATGTACCTGAACAACTGGTGCACATATGTATTACAAAATATGGTTATTTTATCGTACAAAAATTATGATACGAAAAACAGCGTGTTTTTTTTAAATAGTAAATTATAGTTCAATATATTCACCCACCTACAGTACATGGGCGCCGCGTCCTGTTCGGTATGGGACTCATAGCGACGTATACAACGTGCGTAAAATAAGGGCGGTGGTCGTCATGCAGCGCGTTTTCAAATTTTATTGCGTGCGTTGCGTTGTGTACGTCGCCTTCTTGAGTTCACTGGCCTTTAAGACACAATTTCATAATCAAAGTTTTATTTATTAACCTGGAAGTAATTTCAACGCTTGCTCTATCCAATCTTGCCATATGCTTAAGTGTTTAAGTGAACTTATTAACTACTTTTAAGTTACTATGACAACAAAGAGAGTGGATAATGTAATATGGCATATTATGAACTAGTGGGGATCGCAGCAGTCCAGGGCGCCACCTACGCCAACTTGTCAGGCTAATTATGAACAAATGAAATTCAATTTACCCCCGGCCCCCCACTCCCTATATTTAGGGGGGCCTATGCTTGTTCCCTCATTTTTTTGACCCCCCTATCTAGGGAAAAGAAGAAAATTTAACCTCCCCTTTCACGGGCTTTTCCGATGAATTTCACCCCCTATCTAGGGAACTTTTCAGTCTAGAACTCCTTTTAAACCCCCCTTTTTTGTATATCTCGGGAAGTATTTTGAAATACACCCCCTATTTTGAGAATCTCGGGAAAACAAGCAAAAAATACCCCCTTTTCTACGATTTTCTCGGGAAAATGTTCCCGAGACAGATCGTCAAAAAGTACCCTCTTTCCCGAGAAAATGGGAACGCGCATGCGGCCCCCTATGGATCCTGAGTGGGGGGGGGGGGGGGCGGGAATTTACCATGGTGTTCATCGGTTCAGAATTTAGTTGTTGACTCAAGAATCCAAACTAGTAAAACAGATTTGAATATGAAGAACATTGATAAGACTTTAAAAGAAAACTATATTACATTTTGGAAACAGAATGTCAATCAAGAAAACACAAAATGAAGAACATATGCAAAATTCAAAAACACTTATAATTTTGAGTCATACTTAAATTGTCTTCCGAAAAAACATCAAGTCTGTATGTCACG